TTCTTCTATGCCTACATGCACTAATCAATTCATTCCTACGGTTAAGTGAGCTTAATTCAGGGTTACATATAATAAAATATTTCTCAAGCAAACACAGATTACAACGTTTACTGATATTGGAGTATGGTCTGCATTTACCTAATATTTTCCATTTAATTTCATATTTTATATTATCGGCTTTAAGTTTCCAAATGTATTGGCAAAGTGCCGTGCTGTACATACTAACTCATATTAACTCAATTTCTAATTTCTAACTTTGCGGAACGCTGTTTAAATCATCTGAAATTCATAAGAGCCCCCCATCCCCCAACTTAACGAAACATTCTGGATCCGTCCTTGAGACGTTCCTTCGAGTAGGTCACTACCCATTGTAGTGTACGGATTGTGTACTGTAATTCTGAACCCCTAAAGGGTGGTTTGACGGCCACCGTTGAACAACATTGGATTAAAGAATATGAAATATATGAATAAAAGTTCGTATTAAATGCCTACGAATTTGGATTTTGTAATGAAGATCAGACAATGTTATTATAGGCTTCAAGAATTACCATAACGTAAGGATATAAGCCTACTAAACGAAAGCCGTATTGAGAGTGGTGCAACAAATTCTTAAAGAGATATAATAAAATGTATTTTCGTAGATTCCTTTTCCCATGTGGACACCTTAAGTTATTAATTTACAATGGTTACGATTAGAATTAAATCAAAAGTTTTACCAAGTTCAGCAGCGATTTGAGCACCCGGACATTTAACGACATTTGGTTTATTCATCATTCATTTCTAGAGAAGTTGATAATGCATACTAATTTTTAACGTAAGGATATAAGCCTACTAAACGAAAGCCGTATTGGGAGTGGTGCAACAAATTCTTAAAAAGAAATATAATAAAATGTATTTTCGTAGATTCCTTTTCCCATGTGGACACCTTAAGTTATTAATTTACAATGGTTACGATTAGAGTTAAATCAAAAGTTTTACCAAGTTCAGCAGCGATTTGAGCACCCGGACATTTAACGACATTTGGTTTATTCATTATTCATTTCTAGAGAAGTTGATAATGCATAATAATTTTTAACTGACATATTTTATTATTCCAATGTTATTTAACTCTACAGGAGATGTTGTCCCTAGCTTTGTGGGCATGCCTGGAATGCCTCAGCATCAACTTGTGGGCCAAAACCAACCGGCTAGTGGAAGAGAACTTTTACAAGTTCATCTAGCAGCCCAAGGTTTAAATGCATTGTACAGTCAACTGAGACTTCAGTGGGATAATTTAAAGGGGTCAGTGGAGGCACTTTTGAACGATCTAGGATTTGTTCTACCTAGGTATTTCGATAGCATCGGTCAACGTGAAAAGGCATCGAGTATACCATCTGCCGAAGATGTCATCAAATCATTTAAACGTCTCGGACCTGCTTTAAACTTGGCTGGACGACCGTTACATGATTTTGTGAGCTTATTGAATTCGTTAAAATCTATTTTGCCGTTAGTAAAACAAATCAAAGATGTCCATAGCCAATTCAACTTCAAAAAGTCTCTGACCGACAGCTTGAAAAATATTGAGGATTTTGCCGAGGGGAAAAAGGCATTTAGTAAGACTCACCCAGAAGTCTCTAACATAGTCAAGAGTTTAAAGTCAGTGAAAAACATATACCTACCCTTAATCAGCACTTTACCATTTCTGTTTGATAATATCAACATGCTACAAGAAAACCTGCAGAGTGAGTTGTTGTCTATGAGAAGAAAAAACGTTCTAGGTGATGATTTACTCAGTGTTCCGATAATGTTACAGGCTGGAACAGTTCCAAGGGACTTGAACGAAATTGATGGTCAGTCCAGTCTCATGCATTTCTTATTGATTATGCAATGTTATAAATTGACACCATAAATACAATGGACATTTTAGTAATAAGATTCAATTATGTTAAAAATTAATAAAATAATAAACTGGCTGTATTATTTTATACCACATGCAGCACAAGTCATAACCCTGTATCGGCAACACAGTAGAGTGTTGGAACAGAATCATCGATTGTGTGAGTTCAAAACCATTCTTTTTATTCAACAATTTTGATAATATAAAACGGGCATTATAGTTGTAAATGCATTATATTTGAATTATACTAAATTTTATTTTACTTCAAACTGGTTAGCGAGTATGTCATTTACACGCTGAGGAGGGTGAAAAATAATTTTTGTTTATTCAGACAATAAAGTAATCTGGTATCTTGTATGTTTATCTATTTCTATTTATTATTGTGTTTAAGCGCTTTGAGACGATTTCTAATTGTGAAAGGCGATATACACGTCAATTTAATTTCAATTTATGTATATAACGACAACTTGTATGATATAATATTATATATATATAATATATATATATATATTATATATATATGTAT